GCCCAAAAGTTCATTCATGTACACCAAACCATATGACGACCCATGACCCGCTCCAAGGTCTCATCAATCTCATTCACGCATTCCGAGCTCGACCTCGTGTGTGGCATCGCAGGGCAAGGCGCAGCCTGCTGGGATTCGGAGTCACCGGGGTGGTAGACGCGCATGGAAGCAAGCCTGTTTGGTGTGATCTACTCGTCGTTGTTGCAGCGCAGGGCTCTTCGCGCAAGAGCACCGAAAGACGAGATGAATCGTGAACGACGGTGACGGAGCTGCAGCACTCGTGACTGTTGACATGCTCGCACCTTCATCGAGTGCATGGCTAAGCAGATCTCGATCAGCCGAATTCGGCGAACACGACCCATCGATGCGGCTGCTCGAGAGGGAGAGAGCGCGCAGATTCGCAGCAGAGAGGCGCAGTATTGGAGATCATCCACTGATTGCTGGAGTGCGAGCGAGATGGCCATCGCAGCGCTGGTGGCTGACGCAGACACAAAATGGTAGTCTTCGTTCAGCCTGTCAACGGGTTCCAAGCGATCAAGACTGCCTGACTCTGTGCATCTTCTGGAGCGCAGGTATCAAGAGAATGTCCATCTAGACTTGCCAGTCTTCAACTTGATGCGCAACGAATGCATTGCTGCAGCTCTCCGCTAGTGAGTCGGCGCTTCAGACGAGTGCACATCAACATCCAGCTACTCCCGCTCCAAGAGCGCCAAGAGTGGTGCGATACGAGACTGATGGATTGCATGATGGGAAAGCGTGTGAGCTTGATTGCGCGTGATGCATCCGTTGTCCTTGTCTGCGATGAAGCAGGGGCAAGAGCACAGGATGTCTGAGAGGATGTGTTACATGGCTCCAGAGAGCTGTGACGAGATGATACGTCTTGCTTCTGGAGGCCCTTTTTATACGACGAAACGTGACAAGCTAGACAATCATGGCGAGCATACAACCTGTCCAAGACGTTTATTGCTGTGGCAAGAAAGGCAAAACCATCAGCGACAATCTTTGTTCAAAAGTGAGGGCCCAAACTCACGCCTTGAGCGTTGGCACGACGCTTGCCACCGGGTCCAACGACGACGTTGACGAATCGGCTGTAGTGCGGTATGAAGGATGATCTCGTGAGTGATCGGAGCGGTTACGACTCGTTGCTCCCTCGTCATGCTGGTCTCCACGACAAGCGCTCATCTGCAGCATCATCGCATCTCAGACCTGCCCGAACTTGACAGCTCAGATGTGAGCACTCACCGGTTGTACAAGTTTCGCTTGTTAGCACGACCCTTGGGCTGCTTGGGCTTCTCCTGCTTCTCCACCTTGGGAGTCTGAGACTTGACCTTTCCGGCACGAGCCAATGATCCGTGAACCTTTCCCATTTTGCAAGTTGTACTACTCCTCGAAAGTGTGTTGTGTTGGGTGTAAGTTGGGACTGAGACGCAGAAAGAGGTCAAGTGCATGTCAGTACTTGCTTGCTAGAAAGCGATCATGCCCGCGCATTCTGTTGGCAGATACGAAGCGCGCACGAGCACGAGAGCGGCACAGCAGGCGGACGGATGTCGGTAAGGCAGAGGCCATTGTTGACTGCAACTGAGCCAGAATCATTGACGACGCGATCTCCGCCCTGGTCGGTGCAGCGCATCGCTGCGAGCATCTGCACCGAATCCTTTGCAGGGTGTGCCCACTTCTAGACTGCCACACCTCAACATGGCATCCCTTCAAGTGCAAGCTGACCCCAAGCGATGAGCCCATCTCGCCACCCAATCCCCTGTCCAGCGCCTCTCGCCTCCTCGTCCTGTGCTTCCTGGTCCACCGTTCCAGATGCCAAATAGTCATCATCTCCGAAGTCAAACATTGCGTGCGTACTGACCTGCTGAAGGAGTCTTTTTGTCGGATTGTCGAGCGTGGTGGTGCGAGAGAAGATGAGATTGCCGGTGGCAGCGCGTCAGAGAGCGATGAGCCAGCCGCCAACAGCTTTCGAGTCTGCGACAACGTGCAGCCCAGCAGCGCAGCGCGTCTGCCCGCCCGACCGCCGTCCAAGGCTGAGCTGAGCGGCGCTACGCTGCCTCTGCCGTGCAAGAGCCTAGCACGCCTGTTTCTCAAGGTGCAGGCGCTCCACGTGGCGATGTCGCGCATTAACAAAAAGCTCCATTAGCGCGGGCGTCGGTCGACGCGGTTTGTATTGCTCGACCGCAGCAGCAATTCAACTTCAATTGTTCTGACGAGCAATTGCGCAAGGGCGGGCGGCGCGGGCGGCGCGGGCGCGGCTTGCGCGCTGCACAAGGCAGGCAGGCAGGCAGGCAGGCAGGTGGACTTGACTCTGGACTTTCTGGCGTGTGCGATGAATCGTGCTGTCATCGCCATCGCTCGCTCTCCTCCACGATCTCTTCACCAACAACCGCCAACAGCCTTCTTACACTTCGTCAACACCCGCAACTTCATCAAAGTGAGTATCAGCATTCCCTACGTCTTTGCATGGGAGGGAGTGTAGGGCGACGACCCGGCGGGGCAGGTGCGGAGATTGGTAGCGGTCAGCAGGGGCTATGGCTGCTGGACAGATCGTTTAGTATTTCTGAGTGGACGAGGGGTGTAAAGGCAGATGGGCACAGCGCTAGAAGATGAGCTCGTGGCTGAGGGTCAGCTACGGCAGGTCGGCTGTCTGGAACGCAGCCGCTTCCTCGAACGTGCGTGCGGGGTTGCCGCGAGGAAGCGGCGCTCATGGGCAAGTCCAAAAGTCTTGCGAATTGCTGTCTGGCAGCAAGCATTCTTGCACTTTGATGCGCATCTCTACCTACCCTCGTCCGTCGTTCCAGCATGCTGACCCGAACCGAACTCACACCTCACGTTCGCAACAGATGGTCGAGCGTCTTACTCTGCGCAAGCGCACTCCTTACAACACCAAGTCTAACCGTAGACGCGTGATCAAGACTCCCGGAGGAAAGTTGCGTTATCTGCACGTCAAGAAGCTGCCAACTTCTCCCAAATGCGGTGATTGCCACACCGCTCTGGCCGGTGTCAAGGCTTTGAGACCTAGAGAGTACGCTACCGTCTCAAAGACCAACAAGACTGTTCAGCGCGCCTACGGTGGTTCCAGATGCGCCAACTGCGTTCGCACCAGGTGAGCGTCTGCGCGAGGAGCAGGGAAGGAGGGAGGTGTTTGAGGCGGGATAGCTCGCAACATGCGCATCGCACGTTAGGTCGCGCACAAGTCGCAAGCAAGATGCTGATCGATGTTTTTGTCTCCTGACGCGCAGGATCATCCGAGCATTCCTGGTCGAGGAGGCCAAGGTGGTGAAGCTCGTCGTCAAGGCAGCCGCCAGCAAAAAGTAAACGGGGTGGACGTCTCACCATGTCGGCCGGCATGCCCAAGCACATCACCGCCCCATCCTCGTTCGCTCATGCAATTCAGCTACGACCTTATGCGTGCCTGAAAGGTACACCACACGTCTGCATACAAACGCACACCGGTGCGGCTTGTCACAAGCGCAATCGGGCGAAAAAGCTCATCCGAATATTGTCACTATCCTCGACGTGTCAATCTGTACAACCCCAAACGATTTTCGAGACTGAGGCCTGATGAGATCGCGAGCAGGAAGAGGTGACGCAGCGAGCCTGTTCAATTTGGCCTTGCAACTCCTCGGGGCCAGAGGCGGGTTAAGATCTTCGCTGCGAGCGCTGCGACGCTAGCCGAGCAGTCATGAAGCGTGCCCACAAGCAACTCGATCATGTCCCGCGAAAGAGCTATTGCAGAGTGGTACGAGCGGCGCCAACGATGTGACAGACGCACACCAGTTCACATGCGCCTTGCGCGCTCCTATCACGAGTACTGCGCACCAGGCATCTTTTGAGATGAGCTCGATCATGTGAATGGGCTGAGCGCCCCATGCTGCTTGATTGCATATGTGGTCGATTCGTGTTTGGTACAAGAACCACGGCCCAGCTTGATCGCGGGAGTGCGACGAGCAAGTCTGGATCGGGGACAGCGAACGAGGAAAGAGGCAGCGAGATGTGTGGCGCAAAGGCCGCTAAGGGCCCAAGTCGCTCGTTTAGAAGGAGATGGCAGCGTTCTTCGACTTCTTTTCTCCGCCAAGCTCGAAGCTAGAGCAAGGCAGAAAAGGGAAGAATTGGGGGGTCAGTATGCATGTCTAGCATGAAGCGCTATGCGAGCAGGCGTGACTTACTGCTTGCAACGCTTCAAGGCGACGTGAGATCTGTACTTGCATGCGGTGCACTCCAGACGCAGCACGACCTTCTTGGTAGCTGTGAGTCGGAGAATGGCGCCATTCTATCAGCTTTTGATCGCCTTGCTCAGATCGCATTGAGGAGAATTGTTTGCTCGCGTCGATTGCAAACGCCTAGCGCTGGCGCTCCATCTCAAGATGCAGTAAGAGGCAACTGGACATAGACCATCCCTTCGGCTTCGGTAGGACTTTTGCTCGTCCGCCGAGCAACAAGCACCTCTCGCTTCCGATGGACACGCGCTCCGTCATGGGATCGTCACCAGGAGCGAACGCCGGACGTCGACTAAATGCGTGGCCTCCATCTCGAGCCCGTCGTCGTGACCACGTTGCCGCCTATTACGCCACGCGCGTCTAGCGACTCTCGCATCACCCGACACCAGCCACCATTGCGCTGCGGGATCGGTTTTCCCTGAACTCTACCGCACTGTTCCGGCCACAAAGCTACTCACTCTTTGCCTTCTTGTGGAAGACGGGCTTGGTCTGACCACCGTAACCCTTTTGCTTAGCATCGTAACGACGCTTTCCCTGAGCGTACAAGGACGCCTTTCCGGTCTTGTACTGGGTCACCTTGTGAGGGCTATCGCAATCGAAATGTCGCGATGAATGATGCAGCAAACGGGGCAAGACATTGGGGGAAATCGATCAGCATCCTACTTTGCCACCTTGTCCTAACTCGAGCTGCTCGTGCGCTCGGTCCCAAGCGTTGTTCGACACTCCTCATCTCAGCCATCCGCCCGCCCATGCCACTTTACTTTGCTCAACGTGACCACCTCCTCCTCAAAGATTCCTCGTGCGTGCCCTTCGCTTCCTTCACCCTCCCATCGCTCATCTGCTCTCCTCCTTCCCTTTCCAATCTCTCGCTTCACGCTACCTGAACGACACTCACGTGTGCTTCTTGCAAGGCTTACCCTTGCAGTAAGTTCTACGAGTCTTGGGAACGTTGACCATCTTGTCCAATTCTTGACGAAGGAGTTGAATGCTGTTGGGTAATGGTAGAGACCAAGCGCTATTCGTTGCGATGCTGGGCTGAGTTGAAGCCGCACCCTCGATCTCAGCACGAGTCGACTGCGAACGCGACTTTCTGCTCAGGCCGCGCCCGCTGAACGAAATTCGAGATGGATCCTCGGACGTTGCAGCAGCGCAGCAGCTCTGTCTCAAGCTGCGGCCGCGCCCGGCGTGCGGACGCGCGACCCTCTCCTGTCGGCGCGCACGCGCGCGCGCGCGCGCTAACCCTCTTTCCACGTGGCGTGTCGAAGATCGTGCAATGCCCGCGCTCCACCGCGCGCCAGGTACTTGCCCTTGACATGAACGGATCTCGCCAGCATTCGCCTTTTCACCCAACCACCTCAGACTCAGGATCCGCTCGTCACCGGCCCAACGCTTTTCATCAAGAACAAAAGTTGCGATTTGCTTGCGAATTGCACAAATCAACTGATCTGACCCCCTCTTCAGCCCGAGCATCGTTCAAGAGTGAGTAGGAGCGAGGAGCGAGGAGCGAGGAATGCAAGACGAAGAGCTCGGCAATGAGAGGGTGACACCGCAGCGGAGGGT